CACACACACACATCTTCCCAAAAGGCCCAGAGGTTAATCCCGATCATATTTGATCCAGCAACGCAGTGCCCCTCTCTGTCCCACCCAAGTTACCCTCTTTGCCTCTGGCCATCTACAAACACACTCTATATATATCTACTCAGAAATATCTGATATTTATTTCCCAACATTTTGAAAATTTTTTTACAAATTGAATAAAAGGAATGAAGGGGAGAAGTGGGACCCCAGGCCTGGCCTGGGTTCCTGATGAGAGGTAACAGTGTGAAAATGTCTCCTCACCCACAACTCCTGGCCTGCTGCCCTAACCTCTCCTATCAGCCTTACCTAAGAGTGAGGTGGGGGCTTTCTGAGGATGTGGGGTTCCCCCCTAGAGGTATCCTTTTTCAGGCCCTGAACTGCTTCAGGCTGGGGGCAAGCGTGGGCCCAGTTGTGGTGCCTTCTGCGCCTCTCTTGCCTGCGGGCCAGCTGCTGCAATTGTTTCCGAATGGCCCACAGCACCAGATACACTTCCCGCAGCATCTCAGCTTCCCGTGACTGCAAAGGGGACCCGGTCCTTATTTCGGAAGGAACTGAGGTAGAACTCATAGATGACTGAAAGAGAGAGATGTGCACATGTAAACAGCTTGGTCTAAGGAACCACCTGCAGATAAATAGCAAAGGCTTTTAATTCCACCTCCTTCACTATGCCTCAGCTCAGGCATTGCCTCCTCCAGGAAGTCTTCTCAGGCTATATTAGGTGTTCGTCTCTACCCTTGTGTTTGCCCTGTCAATCATCACTGTTTGTTCTTTGGACTCAACACTAGAATGCAAGCTCCTGGAAGATTAGGACCACGTCTGACCCATCTTTGAGTTCCCATTAGTGTTTCATGGTAAGTATGTTAAAATGAAGAAGGATCTCTGTTTTCAGCCCAGAGCTCTGTTCTGACCTCCAGGTCTGTATATCCCACTGCCTTCTAGACATCTTCCTGCAGATGTCTTATGGACATCTCAATTTGTCTGTCTCAAAGCCCAAACTCATCATCTCCTTCCCTAAGTACACCCTTGCTCCTTCATTTCCCCCCTGTGAATGGCTCTAGTCTGCTCTGACTTCTATTTCTCCCTATTCCCTCACCATATTCCAACCAACCACTTGGTGCAACAATTCTACCCCTTAAATATTGCTCTGATCCATTAACTTGTTCTACCCGATGTCTCTCTCCAAATCCAGAATATCCTTCTCTCTTAGCCTGGACTACAACACCTCCAATGGATCTACCTGCCTCTCCTCTTGTTCCCTTCCGATCCCTGTCCCCTCCACAGGGCAGCCAAGTGACTTTAAATTAATGCTGCAATACCTCATTCAAGGCCAAGATAAGTTGATTTAGTAGTGATCTAGACATTTCACAGTTTTAAATTAAGTTTTTCACTGTGAGATAATTGTAGATTCACATGCAGTTGTGTGAAATAATAGAGTTCCTGTACTGACTTTAAATTAATGCTGCAATACCTCATTCAAGGCCAAGATAAGTTGACTTAGTAGTGATCTAGACATTTTCCAGTTTTAAATTAAGTTTTCCACTTTGAGATAATTGTAGATTCAACATGCAGTTGTGCGAAATAATAGAGTTCCTGTATACCTTTAATCGGTAGTCTCCCCTCCCCTATAGTAAAATCTTGCAAAACTCTAGCACAATATCATATCATAGATATTCTAGTCAGGAAATTGACATTGATGCACTCCACTGATCTTATTCATATTTCCCCAGTTTCACTTGTATTCGTGTGTGTGTGTGTGTGTGTGTGTTGAATCCTAACCAATTTTATATCATATGTGCAGGCTCATGTATCCAACTACCACAGTCATGATGATACAGGAGATTTCCATCACACAAGGATTCCTCATGTTGTCTTTTATAACAAACCTTCCTTCACCTTCCCCACCCCCAACCCCACCCTGCAGCCCCTGCCAAACACTAAACCACTGATCAGTTCTCTATCATTTCAGTATTTCAAGAATGGTGTATCATATAAATGGAACCACATAGTACATCCTATTTTGGATTGGTTATTTTCATTAGCATAATCCCCTTGAAATTCATCTAAGTTGTTGAATGTATTAATAGTCTGTTCCTTTTTATGGCTGGTAAGTATCCCATGGTATGAATGTATCACAGTTTAACCATTCACCCATTGAGGGACATTTGGGTTGGTTTGGGCTATTACAAATAAAGCTACTATGAACATTCATGTCCAGATTTCTGTGTGAACATAAAATTTCATTCATTCATTAGGATAAATGCCCAAGAGTACAACTGCTGGGCCATTTGATAATTGCATGGTTAGTTTTATAAGAAGCTACCAAACTGTTTTCCAGACGGACTATACCATTTTGCATTCCCACCAGCAACATAGGCGTGCAGGTGAACTTTCTAAATCAAAATCTGTTGCTTTTAGGGTCCAATTCAAACTCCACAACTGGTCACCACCTCTCCCTTGTACTAGCTGGCCCTCAGCTCTAGGATCACTTTACTGTGATCCACACACCTTGGGTCAGCCCTCCACACATCTGTGCTTCTTCCTTCATAAAAGCTCCTTCCACTCCCTCCACTTTCTGCTAACACCTCCACCCTGCCTCAAGCCAAGCTAAATCCTTCAGTCTCAGCTTCATCCTCTCTTCTGCTAGGAAGGACTTCCTTGACTTCCCAGGCCTGGATGAGATGCCTCTCCCCTGGATTCCCAGACCCCTGTGCCTCCTATGATACTGAGCCAACAATGCCTATGATCTTGTCTGTAGCACCCTTAGTCTGCGTAAACCTTGTCCCTATCCACCATGTATCCTAGGAGCCTATCTCAGCAACTGGCACTAAATAGAGGTGCAGGAAATAAATGTTGAACAAGTGAATGGAGGGAGGAGGGAGTCCTGTGGGGAGGGGTGGGAAGGTTGTTGGGGACAAGGGGGATATGGTACTGACCTTCCAGCTGCACATTTGCCAGCCAGACTGGAAAGCCGAGACCATGAGTGTGGAGACAGACTTGGCAGCCGTCCGGGGCAGCTGCAACAGGGACCGGCTCCCACGATGCAGCTCTACTTTAGCCCCATCTGTTGTCCTGGCCAATGTGCAGGGATCAGCCACCTTGGAGAACACTCCCATCCTGCAGACTTTAGCCTCTTTAAGGGGCTCAACCAACATGCAAGTCTCAACCACACTGGAAGCCTTCTCCATCTTCAACGCAGATTTCTTGGAGTCAGGGTGTTCCACAATGGTCGACTTAGCTCTGTGTTTCCAGAAAAACACCTAAGAACCAAGAAGGGAGAGGAAGGATGGGAGAGAGGGCCAGAGTGGAGACAACAGTCACAAGAAGGGAAGGCACAGAAGGGATGGGACAGAGTGTGTCCTGGCCTCCTCCTCCCTGTCTTGTTTGACCACAGGAAGCCAGAGGGGAGGGAGGCCAGGTAGAGGGGGTGTTTGTGTGATCTAGAAGTCATTGACCAGCACCTCCCACCCCAGCATGGTATAAGCAAGGGCAGTTTCCAAAACTTACCAAGGAAGTAATCTTTCGCCAAACCCACTGGAAGAGTCTTCTGATAGCCATTTCTCCCAATTTACAAGTCCCAAGTAGGGGGCAAAACCAGCATTTGGCATGGGGGGAGGGTGTGGGGGGCAAGCTGCAGGCCAGTGGCTGCCACCTAAGAGGTCTCTCAGGAACTTCAAATGCAGCAGTGAAGAAATAAATAAGGAATCTAGGGGGAAAGCTCCCCCTGACAATTCATCCTAGGCCTTCCCTCCCCTCCCTGGGACAGGGAGAGGAGTCAAAGTGGATGAGAACCCAGAGTGAGGGAGAGTTCCAGCCCATTGTGAGAGCCTGCCTGACCTTGACCCCAACCCCCGAGGCCCTTCCAAGAGCCCAGAGCCAATCTCTGAACCCTTAGCCCTTCTTCCCGCAAAGACACGAAAGGGAAACTAACATTTACGGAGCGCTGGGACTCGCTGGGCGTTTTCTGTGTATGATGTCCTATAATTCTCACGGCAGCCCTCAGGTAGGTATGACTGTCAGTGCCATTTTACCCACGAGGAAGCTGGGATTCAAAGAAACCAGAGAACCTGCCCAAGGTCATAAATATCGGGAGCCGCAGGGTCAGCCTCCAGCACCCAGCCTTCTCCAGGCCCTCTCCAGGCTGGGGACAGGGCCCTCGTGAGCTGAGGCAGCTGCTTTCCCCCACTTCCCCACTAGATGGGGTCCTTACCCCTACCTGCTGCTTCTGCCTGGACAGGAGCCCAGCTGAGGCTGTCTGGGAGGGGCCTGCTCCCTCACTGGGCCCCATCCTCAGCCAGCTGGGGGTGGAAGCCACAGAGGCTGGCCAGGCCTGGCGAGGGCACTGTGTGCCCGGGAAGCCTGGCCCACACCCAGGGCTGAGACAAGGGGCCCATTCAGGGCCCCCTGCCCCACCCCCAAGCAGCCACCCGGATCCAGCCCGCAGAGGGGACACACTGGGAAGCTGAGGGTGGATCCTGTACAATCACCAAAAGGCCTCATTGTTTCCCTGTTGCCCCCCCCCCTCCCCAGCACGTGGGCTGACAGCCCCCTCCACCCTCCCTCCCTCTGCCTTGCCTTGCCTTGCCTGCCCCTTCCCAGGACCTGGCAGGCCACGGGCTCCCTTTGCAGCATCTCTTTTGACCACTCGGAGCCACATTAAACCTCCCCAGTTTGGGCAAGATCTCCAGGGAAGCCTACAGCCTTAGTCCCTCTCCCACGGTAGGAATTGCTGGTGTAGGGCCCCAGTCTGGACACAAGCAACAAGATGCCAATTTCCAGATTCAAGTTTCTTTGGATTTTTTAATTATAATTATTATTTTAATAACAACCTGAACCCCAGAACTTCCAGATACTGTCCACAATCCCTCCCCTGGGCAGAGAAGAGGGGGCACTTTCAGGGAATAAGGTGAGGATGGGGTGTCTGCCAGGAAGCCTCCAACTCCCTCAAGCCATCTACTGCTGGGGGTCCCAGAACACTGACACCTAGGGAGGGAGCAGGGAGCTCCATCTCACACCCCGTCCTGCAGCCCTCTCTCCTCCATCAAGGCCTGGGGATGCCCCAGCCGAGTCCCTGGGCACTATGGCGAGATGGAGGAAGGATCGGGGGACAGGCCAATTCTGAGCCTTTAACTCCCATCCCTAGGGATCAGGGGGAATTAAAGCTGCATAGGAAGAGGGGGCAGGCAGCTGTGGCAGCCCCCAAAGGCACATTGTGAGGGAAAGGAGGCTCAGATGGAGGGCCCATTGGGCGCAGGGGGCCCAAGCCGAGGGACCCCTGAGGACGGCAGCTGGGCCAGCTGCTCAGGGCTGGCCAGGGCACGCAGCAGTCCATTCTCTTGCTCCAGTGCGGCATTCCGCTCAGCCAGGTCCCGGATCTGCTCCTTCAGCACCTCCACCTCCTCCCGGACCGCAAACATGAGGTGGGACTTCACCAGGTCCTGGGGGACAGGCAAAGCATCAGGGGTCCCAGGCCACCCCAACCTCATTGCCTGCCCAGTAACTTGAAGGGCTGGGTGTGAGAAATCCTCCTCCTTCCAGATAATGAGGGATCACTGGGGAAGCAGCACAGCGGGGGAGGAGTGGAGGGAGAGCAGAGAAAAAGGCCAGACAGAAGCAAGGTCAGGGCTCAAAGACAGAGATGGGGAACGGGAGCAGGGCCAGACCCAAGGGAAGTCAAGGGTTCAGGTGGAGTCTGGAGCTGGTGGAGGGCCCAAGGGAACCCAGCTGGGAGCAGGTGTAGGAGCTAAGAGACAGTGTTCCCTAATAATGAGGACAGCAGGGGTGGAGCAGCAGGCCAGCTAAGAGAGGCAGGACCCGGGCATCAGCACATGAGCAGGGACCTCCTGGGGCCAAGATGGCTTCTCTTACCATGGCTTGTTCGATCTTGTTGTCAATGCCAACCAGGCTTCCGGAGCCACTGGAGAGAGAGACAGGGAGATGAGAGGTGAAGAGGAGCAGGTGCCAAGCCAGGTGTCTGGACACCATAGCCAGTTGCCTTCCAGATGTTTCTCCGAGCAGGCTCTGGCCTCCACAAGCCCCACTGCCGCAGCCTCCCACCACATCCCAGCCTGTACCTGTGACAGTAGAGAATCAGAGAGAGGAGGGTTTTGTCCATCCCCCGGCGGGGTGAGGGCCTCTGCCCAGGCCCCCCTAGGCCCCGGTGGGGTGGGGGCCCAGACGCCCCTCGGATGGGGGACGCTCCCCTAGGGGAGCAAGGAGAGGAGACACAGCCCCTTTTCCGGGGAGGTCCCGGAGCCATCCCTACCACTCGGGTCTCAAAAGATGACACCAGGGACTTGACAGAGACTCCTGGCTGGGCCATCCCCGAGGGGCAAGGGTCCCCCCGGCCCCCCACAAAGGGAGAGGGCTATATCAGTACTGCCTGGGGGGCTCAGAGCCCCCCGGGCAGAGCGGGGTCCGGCTGGTGCCAGGCAGGCAGAGAGAAGACGGTGCCCAGGGGGTGCTGGTCTGAAAGATATACACCATCCCCCAGGGCAATGCCTGGCTGCGATTGGCTCCTCAGGGACACGGGGACCCCCTCCCACTGGCTTCATGGTGGGCGGGAATTCCCAGACTCAGTCAGTGCCAGTGTCCCCTTCTCAACCTGGCACCAATCCCGGAGCACAGGGGAGGGAGCCTGGCTGAGGGAAGTCAGCTGGTGGGCCTGGTGCAGGGCGGGCTGTGGGTCCAGGAGGGGTGTAAAGGTTGAGAGAGAGCCTGGCCTTGGGAGGCCTCTCCCCACCTCTGCCTCCATCCTGCCCCCTCTGGTCTAACACTGGCCTCCCTCAAGGTCTTAGCTCCTCTCAGCTGGAATGGCGGCTGGGGGGGAGGGGGCATTTGATGTGCTTGTGGTCTTCCTTGGATTGTAAGCAACCCCCTTTCCAACATAAAGCTTTCATCACGGGTCTCCCCTGGTGCCTGCCCAGAGGAAACCCCACCTCCCATGGTGAGGGCCAGGAGGAATGGGAAAGGTTACCATGGCAATGGAACAGAGTCCAGAGCCCTGAAAGACAAGTACAGCCTCTGGTCCTGGGTCTGGGGTCTGGAGTCTTGAAGGAGTGAGGGCTTGAGGAGAGGTGGGAAGGTGAAGCTGGAGGTGGGACACTGGGAATAGGAGCAGAGACTTTGAAGACCCTTGGGAGCAGAGGACAGGAAGGGGAGAGAGGTCCGGCTGCAGTTTATTAAGTGGCCACCAGAGGTCAACACAGGCCTGGCACACCGGTCCCCAGGGCCAAGTTCTGGGTCCCAGAACCAGACCTCCCTCAAGTCAGTCTCTTGGAGGCCTAGGGCCTGAACCATCCTTTGAGCCCTGCCCTGACCTCCAAGGCCCCCTCCTCCCACCACTCAGGCCCCAGATTCCTGTGTCATCCCATGGCTCATGACCCAACCCTGTCCAGTTCTGCCTCAGCTGCCTCAGCCCCAGGGCCAGCCCTCCAGCCAGGACGGTGCTGTAGGATCACCATCCTGACCTCCTGCCCCCAGCTTCCCCCCTCTCTTAGAGTAGGTGACCCCAACATGCTGCATCCTGTGCCCTTGTGCTCAACTGTCAAGCCCTCTCTCCTGGTTGTCAGTTCCAACTTGCTTTCCTGGAGGGGGGGTTGGGGGAGATTAACACTCATTTCAAGGTGACCCTTGAATGAGGCCCTGCAGCCAGGAAGAGAACACAAGGGAGCTGGGAATTTTCCATTTCCCATCCAAGCTCTGGGTGCAGAAGGCACTGACAGGTGGGTAACCAAGGGGGTGACCAGGCCTGAGAGAGCAGCCCAGGGTGGGGTGGGGGAAGGACACCCTGAACTCCTAGAATTGGAGGGGAGAGGACAAGTTTAAGAGTAGAGGGCAGGCCGGCCAGCTGGAGAGTCAAAGCGGCTTTCAAGCTATTTCAATCTGAGACACCTGGGTGGAGACTGGGCCACCACAGTCTTCCTCCCTCCCCTTCCCCACAAACACAGACACACAGAGACCAAAGAGGGGCAGATTCATCGGAATAGGAACCCTGGCCTTCCTTGGCGGACACTCGGGTAAAGATGCCAAGTAAGTTGTTAGTTCTTGCCAGAAATAAAGGAATACTACAATAATAAACATTTGTTGGCTGATAGATGACTATCTCCTGTTTGTCTAGTGCTGGACAGTTTTTGACAGCACTTTCCACTGTCACATCCTAACATTAACACTTCAAGGGACCAAGACTCTGGCTGGCAACCCAAGCCCTCCCTTCGAGAACCCTGAGTGAGGGGCGGCGGGCATTGTGCTGGAATTCTTGGGCAAGCTCGGGAGCCGGAAGCTTGGGGTTGGCTGGGTGAGATCAACTTTCACCAGAAGCCCAAAAGGTGACTTGGTGTGAATTAGAACAATATATCTCCTTCTTCAAGCCACTTATTGCCATCTTCCAGGAAACTGTCATGACTTCAAATGTCGACAGTGACTTCAAATGTGTGTGGCGCCCCCCCTGGAGTTGTGCAGGGCACAATGCGCACAACTGGGGCCTCTGGGTCTGCAGGACTCTTGGGTCCTGGGGCAAGGACAGCCTTAGAGTCGGTCTTCCTTTTTGAAGGTCAAATGAAATAGCCTCAAAATTAGGAGCAGATGAAGAAGCAAGACATCTGGGCGAGGTGAAGGTTCTGATCCCAGGGCCAAGGGCCAGCCCTGCTCCCTCGCTGAGTTCTGAGGAGCCCCCAGGAGCTGGGCCTGGGGCCAACAAAGTGGCATCCGGCTGCACTGTCTACACTCCCTCCCGGATCTGTGGTGTTTTTGGGGTGGGGCCAGGCCAGGAGTGGGGAGGATGGCTCCTTGCCCAGCTTGAGAGAGCTGTCCCTGCCTCTGTCCTGGAGGGAAAGGGCATCCTAGAGAGGCTGCTCTTGGGACACAGGCATCCAGTAGGAAAGGGGAGAGAATGCGGTTCTGGTGTCAGACCCAGGCTCGGTGACCTTGGGCAAGTTGCTAAAACCTTCCTCCCCTGAGTCTGTTTCTTCAAGTGGGTATCATGGAGTTGCTTTTAGGATTAGGTGACATAAAATGTAGCATCTGACCCAAAGGAGACACTGGATATAAAAGTACTTTTTCTTTCCCGAGTTCCTGGAATTCAGTCCTTATCATGCCTGGATTCCTGATGTTGGCCATCCACTCATCCATCCACCCACCCAACCCATCCACCTATCCAATTATTCAAGTACCTTCGAACTTTAAGGCCCTGTTGAGGTTTCCAAGGTTATTGCAACTGAGGGGCACTTGAGCAGTCTGACTTCTCCAGGCACCCTCTGTTCTCCCAGCCCCAGACTCTGGAATTGATCAGGCATTCTCCACTCCCCATCTGGGATCCATGCACTTAACATCCCAATCCATTTTCCCTCTCAAAAGGGAGGTCCCATGCCACTTGAACTCTGTTCTCCTGCCAGCTTCCAGCACACCAGAGAGGTGAGGTGGGGGCTATATGCCTCTTTCCAGGGGGCCAAAGGGGTGGCCCAACCCAAACCCGCTGGCCCAGCAGGGTGGGGCACAAGGGGCTGGGCTGGGCCAGAGCCCCAGAGGCTTGCAGGAGAGCAGGGTAAAGTGGAAGCTAGGAGCTGGACCGGTCAGACTGGGGTGTGTGGAGGGGATGGGACAGAAGGAGGGAGGGGACAAGCCAAGAGAATACAGCTGAGGAGGCTTCTGGAGGCAGAACTCTCTAAGGGAAAGCAGGAGGCTAGGCTCTGAAATCAACAGGGGTGGAGGAGGGACAGGCAGCCCTAATGCCAGGTTACTTCCCAAATGGGAGGAGGAGAGGGTGGGAAGAGCTGAGAATAGCAGCAATGGGGGCAGGTGACTCTCCAGGCCCTGGCTGACCTCACACCTCACACATTCCTGACAGCCCGAGCTCAGATGGGAGCCCAGACAGGGCCCCGCCCATACGGGCCCTGTCCCTCATTCCCCACAGCCTCCACCAGGCCCTCCCCCCCACCCCATCCACCAGATCCCAGCCACCACTTCCTTTCCTCTTTGGGCTCCCAGCTCTCCCAAGGCCTCGGGCATTTTTCTCTGGTGAGACTCAGTCCCTGATTGTGGAGGTTAGTCTCACAGAGGGGAAGAAGGAAGAATGATACTCCCAGCACCCACTCACTCCCCCAGCACCCACTCACTCATCGGTAAGCCCTTATTATTTCTTTCAAACAGGAAGTCCCTCCTCCAAAGCCTCAAACAGGAAGTCCCACTCCTCCCTCCAAAATAAAAGTTTCGACTCCTTAGCCCTTCTTCTGGGTTCCTATCAGTCTACGGCCAGAAGGGAGCAGCTTGGCTATCAGACTAGCAATTTTGTTCCTCCCTTTTCAGCTTGCTGGCATTCCTATGTTGAAACCTGGCCCTCAAAACAGGAAGTCTGCCCACCACGCCACAGAACTGACCGGACATTCTCCCTGAAGGGCAAACCCCAGCAGCTCAGCTCTCCGGTGCCTTCCCCGTGCCCCTCAGCCATCCTCTTCATGGCTCTGGCTTGGCCAGGGGGAGGCTTGTGCGGGAGGGGCGGCTCAGCAGAGAAAAGAACCTTAGGGACATGCTTTCTTGGCACTGGAGGTCCTAGGACCCTAAAGTAGGCCACACGGACTATAAGATGTTACCAATAAAGACAGGAGTTCTATTCCCCTCAGTAGGAAGAGAGACTATAGTTTTAAAAAAAACTATGAACAAATTCCTATGCACACAGCGGCAGCAAAAACACCTGGCGGGCCGGATAAATGTTTTCGGCGGGCCGCATGTGGCCCCCGGGCCGTAGTTTGAGGACCCCTGGACTATAAGATGTTACCAATAAAGACAGGAGTTCCATTCCTCTCAGTAGGGAGAGAGAGATGGGGACTGGGAGGAGACTGACTCCCTATTCTCACCTCCAGCACATTTGCTAGTAAGTTCTTGGGGTTGGCCAGATGATCACTAAATCTGCAAGAGCTCTGGAATTTGACAATGACTCCCTTCAAACTCTAAACAAGTACTACGATTAACAATCCTAAACCTAGAGTGCCACCCAGCTCTCTCCAGAGAGGGAGTGGGTCCCAAATCAACTTTGCCCAGTGTGTCATGCCCAGGCCAGGTTTCTCTGTTTAAGACGTCCCCTCCAAGTTTAACGTGGGCGAAGGACACCTACCAGGCAGTTTTGCGTGGCTACCCGAGGTACGGGGTTCAGAGGCGGAGCCCACCTACCTATCATCATCGCTGTCCAGGTGGCCACTGATGGCCAGCATGGATCGGGCCAGGCTGAGGCTCTGGGCTGCTGCTGCTCCAAAGGGGTCTGGAGACTTGTGGACCAGACTGGCATCAGGGAAGAAGTAGAGGGCCGGGGAGCTGGGGCGAGAGTCGTGGGGGGGTACCTGGAGGCAGAGAGGTAGGAACTATCACATTAAGCAAGAGAAAGAAACCAACCACTTTACAACTTGCCTAGTAGTCTTCCTCCCTATGCACCCCTGCTCCCCATGCTCTCTCCCAAGGACCCAGGGGTCCTGCCCTTGCAGCCCCCTTTTCCCCAGGTCTAGGGAAAGCATCAGGCAGGGACTAGAGGCAAGGAAACAGTGCCCATCCTGAGGACTAGGTAAGTAGCTTCTAAAAAGTGATTCACAAGGTATCAGAGAGGGGCTCGATCTACACAGCAGCACCTGCCACCAGCTGAGCCAGGATCCCTAATCGGAGGCTAATCAGAGTGTCAGCCTTCTGTTACCTGACTTCTTTTTTAAAAAAATATATTTTATTGATTTTTTACAGAAAGGAAGAGAGAGGGATAGAGAGTTAGAAACATTGATGAGAGAGAAACATTGATCAGCTGCCTCCCGCATACCCCCCACTGGGGATGTGTCCACAACCAAGGCACATGCCCCTGGCCGGAACCGAACCCAGGACCCTTCAGTCCGCAGGCCGACGCTCCATCTACTGAGCCAAACCAGCGAGGGCTCACCTAACTTCTTAAAGCAACTTAAATGTCACTTCCTCAGAGAGGCGTTTCCCCATCATTGAACTAGTAAATTCCACTGAACTGTCCCTTTTTTTTTTTTTTTTTTTTAGTAACGCCTAATACTACCTGATATTAAAGTATTTTTGCCTCTCTGTTGCTAAAAGGTAAGCTCCAGAGGGCACAGCTTAGTTTGTTCAACAGCTATTTGTAGAATGAATGAATCCTCAGAAACTGGTCCTCCGCCCTCCCACCCCCACTATACCCATTCAAGCCTCCTAAAACTTCTCAGGACTCAGGTGAAGTACTGCTCTGGCTCTCTGGCCCTGGGTTAGGGGGTGAGGGAGCGGGTGGCAGAGATGGGGGAGGCGGAGCCTGGGCGTGGACAGCCCAACAGGCACTGGGGGAGGCTGCAAAAGGGCGGGGGCCACAGGAACAAGCCGCCTCTGTGAGGCCCCAGGAGGCCCCAGCTTCTCAGAAAAGCCAAGAACAGAGAGTTCAGGGTGGTTAGAGGGACAGAACCGAGGAAGGGGGCCCAGGTGATGTCCCCGGGCCTCCTTCTGGCTCCTGTTAGAGGCAACTGAGAGAGAAGAGGCATGGGGAGTGTTGAAGGAAGACGAACTTCGGGACAGGGAAGCAGCAGCACAGATGCATGCACACAGGAAGGGATCAAGACCTAAGAGAAGAAAAAGCGGTTGGGGGCACTGAGAAGAGAGGGGCAGGGTCTGCGGGCCCAGGGAAAGCTCAGGCAGGGCTTAAGGACAGAGAGAGCAGAGGCTCGGGGCAGAGGGGCTTGATTTGGAAGTGTGTGGGGGATAGGGAAGGGACCAGAAAAGGACACAGCATCTTCTCCCCTGGGGTAGCAATTGAATGAAAGAGCTCAAGAAAAGAGGGCTGGGGGGTGGCAAGAGAGATGTAAACTTCAGGCCAGGAGGGAGTGGGGGGAGCCGGTCCTGACTGGTCCTGACAGGACCCAGACATCCAGTCTCAGGTTATTTTTATACTGTGGTTTGTGCCCAAGGCCAGGAAGGGGAAAAGTTCCCATCCTCACACTCCCTGCCTTTCCTCCTGCAGCCCAAGGTGTTATTTTCTCCTCCAGGACAGACACATCCAACCCCCAATCCCTGGCTGCCCACCCCTCACCCCAGAGATCCAGGCAGGCATCCTGCCCCCCAGCCCAGACTTGTTCCTCTTTTGGAGACAGGAAGCAGAAAGAGCAAAGGATTTAACTCCTTCTCTGCTGCTCCCTGCCTCTCTCCCACTCCACAGTGGCCAACCCCAGTTACTGATCCTGGAGAGGCCCAGACACAGGGAACTGAGACAGACAGCAAACCAGCAAGCCCCCATCCTTGCAATGGGTCCCCAGCACCACCCAATTCCTCAATTTCTCAGGGAAATCTGGCTTGGGACAAAGCTAGAGAGGGGCTGGGACAGGTGGCTGGCTGGTGAGAACCCCCCCCCCCCCCCCCCCCCCCAACCACCAGG